ACAAGCCTTGGGGATATGATAAATCCACACCATAAGCCACTAAAACCCCTTTTTTATATAAAAATAGCAATTACTCGATTAAAAAAAAATATCAATAAGTTCAACAAACATTTATCTTTCTAACAATGTGCTTCTTATATCATTTATGTGTATAATATGATTGCTAGATACGATTTTAATCGATAAAACGTTGGAATCTTAATTTTTAGGCGATAGTAGAACATACCTTGTGCTTTCGCTTAAGGCATGCAATAACTTATCCGGCTTATATATTATACCTAAATAGTTCTAAAAAATAAGCAATTTCATACAAAACGTGAAGATTTACCATGCCAACTTCCCGACTCCCTTTTATATATTCAGTTCTTGCATAAAATTATACAATAAACTATCGGACAAAATGAAAAAATAAAAATAGTCACATTATATTTACAAACAATAAAAACAGTTCCTGACTAATAAATTATACTATAATACTAATGAATATTTTATAAATAATACATTTTTAGGTTATACAAAAGAGGTACTCATTTAAATTGACTTCATGGACAAAGAAGGATTCTTTATGATGAACTCTTTCTTCCAGAAGCGATCCCACAGGAAGTGGATCTGTTAGAGCCCCGATGGTTCGACAAAAATGAGATTAACTTCATTATGACGACCAGACGACAACTGTTCAGTGATGTCTCAGTGATCGCGAGGGTGAAAACCGGCAGCGATTACCGAATGGTTAGAGGCACACTGAACCTAAACGTTAAGTTGGAGACGTGACGTCTAATGAAGTCAACGCTCCGTCCCCCTCGTGCTCTAATCCGAAATCCCGAAACCTTTCAGTTCGAGCTACGAAACTGTTTTCAGTGCCTAGAAGATTGCAATGCAGTGGACGATATTAATGACAAGCTCGTGGAAACTGTCCATGCGGTCGGAGCTAAGTTTTGCAAGACCCGCAGCAGAAGAACACAAAAACACTCCGATCACACTCTTAATCTCATGATTGTTAGACAGGATATGAGGCTGCAGTCTTCAGTAGATTTGACAGCATACAGGCAACTGAACAGAGAGATCTCCAAATGCATGCGGCAGGACTTACACAACTATAATACTGCTCGTATTAAAGAAGCGATCGAGCGGAACTAGGTCTCCAAAGTCTTTGCCAGAGATCTGTCTGCCAGAAAGAGCCAACTGTCGAAGCTGAAGAGCGACTGTGGCAGCGTCGTTTCCGGGACATCTGAGATTTTGAGTGAGATTGAGAGGTTCTATGGCCAGCTATACACATCATCGTTGGAGCCACACGTAAGTGTGAGTAACGATCCAAGAGCGAGTCTAAATCGACACCATTCCGATGACATTCCGGACGTCAGTCTGAGCGAGATTAGAATGGCTCTCCAGCACCTTAAAAACGGCAAGGCCCCAGGCGAGGATGGAATTACAGCGGAGCTTTTGAAAGCGTGTGGAAAACCGGTACTTGAAGTCCTTCAGAAGCTCTTTAATTCCGTCCTCCATGGTGGCACTACACCGGAGGCGTGGAGCAGAAGTGCGGTGGTCTTATTCTTCAAGAAAGGTGACAACGCTCTCTTTAAGAACTACAGACTGATTTCCCTTCTGAGCCGAGTCTATGTGCTGATTTCGAGAGTCATTGCGAATCATCTCGCGCGCAGACTTGACGACTCTCAGCCTCCCGAACAAGCCGGTTTCCGAAAAGTTTTTAGCACCATAGACCACATTCATACCCTTCGGCAAATTGTACAAAAGTTCGAAGAGTACAATTTACCACTATGTCGGGCGTAAGTGGACTATGAGATATCCTTTGATTTCGTCGAAATTTGGGCGATGCTGCAGTCCCTTCAGCGATGAAAAGTTGACTGTCGGTATATCGAAGTGATGAAGTGCTTGTATAGTCGGGCTACGATGACTATCCGAGTTTAGAACCAGAGTACGAAACCTATCTAATTGCAGAGAGGTGTAAGACAGGGTGACGTTATATGCCCGAAACTCTTCACCGCTGTATTGGAAGACGTTTTCAAGCTTCTGGGTTGGAAAGGATACGGTATTAACATCAATGGCGAGTACATCACCACCTTCGATTTTCCGACGGTATAGTCCTTGTGGCAGAATCGCTGAAGGACCCAAGCAGTATGGTAAATGACCTAAATAGTGTTTCCAACATTCTATCCGTTGGGAAACACTATTTTGGTCAGTATTAAAGTGAACCTGGAAAAACAAAGATCATGTTTTATGTCCATGTCACACCTATGCCAGTAGTTGTTTTGAGCACTAAGCTCGAAGTTGTTGACGAGTATATTAACCTGGGAGAAATAGTCCGACTAGGTAATCCAACTTCGACCGAGAGGTCAATCAATGGATTCAACTCGGTTGGGCAGCGTTCGGGAAATTACGGGACATCTTCTCGTCAGGTATACCTAAAACTTGAAAACGACACTGTATAACCAGTGCGTGTTGCCAGTGATGACGCATGGAACTGAGACGTGGTCCTTCACTGCTGGCCGGATGAGGAAGCTCAAGGTCGCTCAGCGAGCTATGGAGAGGGCTATGCTCGGGGTTTCTCTTTGTGATAAACTCAGAAATGAGGATATCCGCAGTAGAACCAAAGTAACCGACATAACCCAACGGATTAGTATGCTGAAGTGGCAATGGGCACTGTGGCATTCCTTGGGGGAGGCCTATGTTCAGCAGTGGACTTGTGAAGGGCTGTAATGATGATTAAATCTAAACAATGTTTTCGAAGAATCACCCAACTATAGTCACATAATTTTAGAGATAAGTATCGTAACACCCATTTGAAAATAATACGTCTGTAACCAAAATATAATTTTAGTTGTATAACTTTACCTTCTAAAATTTAAATGTTGCGTTTCATTTCTTTTCGAACCATACAACGTGTGCGTACGTGTACATAAATTTATCGCCTCAAGCATAATATTTTGAGATTGAACCAGTAAGTTACGATTTGACATAATTTACTTAATTATGTTTCCACAAAAAGTTTTGCTCTTAATATGTGTTATCATACATTTGTGTCAAAATCAAGAAATGTTAATTCAAGAAAATAATAAGGAAATATCAACGTGTATTAAAAGAATCATTACACATTGGTTCAACAAAGGATCAGTACTTACGTATGTCGATATTAATACCTTTGACAATGATATAATTAAAACAGTTTACGAAATGCAATATTTGACTGTTATATCACGATCAACAGAGAAGAAAGTATTATATCAAAATGAAGGCTACTTGATAACACCTAAAAATTTAAGAGCTTTCAAAGATAAATTTATGTTCCTATCAATGGAGGAAGGTTGGAAGCCGGATGTCCATTTTCTGATTATATTTGAAGAACTCGAATTATCAGAAATTAATGATGTATTTAAAACTCTTCTACATTATCATGTTTTTAAAGTTTTGGTAATAAATGGAGCAAGTAATTCGAATATCTACACTTACAATCCATTTGAAAACTATGGTTGTGGAATTGTTTTCACAAGGATTATATCATACGGGAAATGTCTTGAAGCAAACATAACAAAATCATTTTTTGATAAACCTGTAACAGGACTTAGAAACTGCACATTTAGAGTAGCTTTTTGTGATACGCCGCCATTCTATATTAATCCTTATAATGATCAGAGAAAAGAGAAACTTGTTGGCCTAGAACAATTTGTTTTGCAAACTTTAAGCGAATTGGAACAATTCAACGTTATATATACCTACCAATTTAATCCTGAAGAAGGTTCTATTATAGGAGATGATATGATAGCTTATGGCCCTATGAGGTCCATTCAGAAAGGTGATGTTGACGTAATGATAGGAGGATTGATTTTGAGGCCTAAAAGAGTAGAAGCTTTTAGCTACTTATATGGACACCATACTAACTACGACGGACTCATAATCTTAGTCAAGAAAGCAGGCTTAGTATCGAATTTGAAAAATACTTATATTGAGTTTGATGTAGTGGTTTGGATATTATTAGGCATAGCATTCATATTATTTTTTGTGGTTTTTGTTGCAATATTTCATATAAAAGACAAATGTGGCACAATTTTAGTTATGTGGGACGTTCTTTTACAACACGGTGCAACATTGGGTAGTAAGCTAAAGTATAGGTATTTCATGTTTATTTGGATTGTTTTTGCTTATTTGATTAACATACATTACCAATCAAATCTGTCGAGTCTTACAACACATCCTAGCTACGAATATCAAATTTCTAAAGAAAAGGATCTCGCTATCTATGATATAAAGCCATGTATAAGCTCTCTTGTAAACAAGCATTTTAAAGCCATATCGGGACATGAGATGGAAGGGGGAAACCGTGAAGAATGTGAAACTATGTTGCAGAGCATGACGACAGTCAGTCAAGTCCATAACAAGTATACTATAGTTTATTATCCTACTTATAACGAATATAAGCACACCTTCATTGACGAATATGGAAATCCTACACTTTATGTGTTTAAAGAACCAATTAGCAAGTATATATCTGGCATATTCTTTTACAAAGGATTTCCTATGATTGCGGAATTACAATTGCAACTTCTTCATATTTTGGAGAGTGGTTTGTTTGAAAAGCAGTTGAGAGATTTGTCAGACGAAGATGCCAAAAAACAATATTTGTCTGAAACAGAATTTCGGGCTCGTCTTATTATTCCTTGGCCTATTCTTGCTTTTGGTCTTAGTTTGGCAACCGGATGTTTCGTAACTGAAATAATAATATATTTCATTAAACAAAAGATTAGAAACAAAATTTTCACTTTCGTAAATTAAATTTTTAACGTTTGAATCATGTCTCGATATGGCTTTAAAATGCTTGTTTACAAGAGAGCTTATACATGGCTTTATATCATAGATAGCGAGATCCTTTTCTTTAGAAATTTGATATTCGTAGCTAGGATGTGTTGTAAGACTCGACAGATTTGATTGGTAATGTATGTTAATCAAATAAGCAAAAACAATCCAAATAAACATGAAATACCTATACTTTAGCTTACTACCCAATGTTGCACCGTGTTGTAAAAGAACGTCCCACATAACTAAAATTGTGCCACATTTGTCTTTTATATGAAATATTGCAACAAAAACCACAAAAAATAATATGAATGCTATGCCTAATAATATCCAAACCACTACATCAAACTCAATATAAGTATTTTTCAAATTCGATACTAAGCCTGCTTTCTTGACTAAGATTATGAGTCCGTCGTAGTTAGTATAGTGTCCATATAAGTAGCTAAAAGCTTCTACTCTTTTAGGCCTCAAAATCAATCCTCCTATCATTACGTCAACATCACCTTTCTGAATGGACCTCATAGGGCCATAAGCTATCATATCATCTCCTATAATAGAACCTTCTTCAGGATTAAATTGGTAGGTATATATAACGTTGAATTGTTCCAATTCGCTTAAAGTTTGCAAAACAAATTGTTCTAGGCCAACAAGTTTCTCTTTTCTCTGATCATTATAAGGATTAATATAGAATGGCGGCGTATCACAAAAAGCTACTCTAAATGTGCAGTTTCTAAGTCCTGTTACAGGTTTATCAAAAAATGATTTTGTTATGTTTGCTTCAAGACATTTCCCGTATGATATAATCCTTGTGAAAACAATTCCACAACCATAGTTTTCAAATGGATTGTAAGTGTAGATATTCGAATTACTTGCTCCATTTATTACCAAAACTTTAAAAACATGATAATGTAGAAGAGTTTTAAATACATCATTAATTTCTGATAATTCGAGTTCTTCAAATATAATCAGAAAATGGACATCCGGCTTCCAACCTTCCTCCATTGATAGGAACATAAATTTATCTTTGAAAGCTCTTAAATTTTTAGGTGTTATCAAGTAGCCTTCATTTTGATATAATACTTTCTTCTCTGTTGATCGTGATATAACAGTCAAATATTGCATTTCGTAAACTGTTTTAATTATATCATTGTCAAAGGTATTAATATCGACATACGTAAGTACTGATCCTTTGTTGAACCAATGTGTAATGATTCTTTTAATACACGTTGATATTTCCTTATTATTTTCTTGAATTAACATTTCTTGATTTTGACACAAATGTATGATAACACATATTAAGAGCAAAACTTTTTGTGGAAACATAATTAAGTAAATTATGTCAAATCGTAACTTACTGGTTCAATCTCAAAATATTATGCTTGAGGCGATAAATTTATGTACACGTACGCACACGTTGTATGGTTCGAAAAGAAATGAAACGCAACATTTAAATTTTAGAAGGTAAAGTTATACAACTAAAATTATATTTTGGTTACAGACGTATTATTTTCAAATGGGTGTTACGATACTTATCTCTAAAATTATGTGACTATAGTTGGGTGATTCTTCGAAAACATTGTTTAGATTTAATCATCATTACAGCCCTTCACAAGTCCACTGCTGAACATAGGCCTCCCCCAAGGAATGCCACAGTGCCCATTGCCACTTCAGCATACTAATCCGTTGGGTTATGTCGGTTACTTTGGTTCTACTGCGGATATCCTCATTTCTGAGTTTATCACAAAGAGAAACCCCGAGCATAGCCCTCTCCATAGCTCGCTGAGCGACCTTGAGCTTCCTCATCCGGCCAGCAGTGAAGGACCACGTCTCAGTTCCATGCGTCATCACTGGCAACACGCACTGGTTATACAGTGTTGTTTTCAAGTTTTAGGTATACCTGACGAGAAGATGTCCCGTAATTTCCCGAACGCTGCCCAACCGAGTTGAATCCATTGATTGACCTCTCGGTCGAAGTTGGATTACCTAGTCGGACTATTTCTCCCAGGTTAATATACTCGTCAACAACTTCGAGCTTAGTGCTCAAAACAACTACTGGCATAGGTGTGACATGGACATAAAACATGATCTTTGTTTTTCCAGGTTCACTTTAATACTGACCTAAATAGTGTTTCCAACATTCTATCCGTTGGGAAACACTATTTTGGTCAGTATTAAAGTGAACCTGGAAAAACAAAGATCATGTTTTATGTCCATGTCACACCTATGCCAGTAGTTGTTTTGAGCACTAAGCTCGAAGTTGTTGACGAGTATATTAACCTGGGAGAAATAGTCCGACTAGGTAATCCAACTTCGACCGAGAGGTCAATCAATGGATTCAACTCGGTTGGGCAGCGTTCGGGAAATTACGGGACATCTTCTCGTCAGGTATACCTAAAACTTGAAAACGACACTGTATAACCAGTGCGTGTTGCCAGTGATGACGCATGGAACTGAGACGTGGTCCTTCACTGCTGGCCGGATGAGGAAGCTCAAGGTCGCTCAGCGAGCTATGGAGAGGGCTATGCTCGGGGTTTCTCTTTGTGATAAACTCAGAAATGAGGATATCCGCAGTAGAACCAAAGTAACCGACATAACCCAACGGATTAGTATGCTGAAGTGGCAATGGGCACTGTGGCATTCCTTGGGGGAGGCCTATGTTCAGCAGTGGACTTGTGAAGGGCTGTAATGATGATTAAATCTAAACAATGTTTTCGAAGAATCACCCAACTATAGTCACATAATTTTAGAGATAAGTATCGTAACACCCATTTGAAAATAATACGTCTGTAACCAAAATATAATTTTAGTTGTATAACTTTACCTTCTAAAATTTAAATGTTGCGTTTCATTTCTTTTCGAACCATACAACGTGTGCGTACGTGTACATAAATTTATCGCCTCAAGCATAATATTTTGAGATTGAACCAGTAAGTTACGATTTGACATAATTTACTTAATTATGTTTCCACAAAAAGTTTTGCTCTTAATATGTGTTATCATACATTTGTGTCAAAATCAAGAAATGTTAATTCAAGAAAATAATAAGGAAATATCAACGTGTATTAAAAGAATCATTACACATTGGTTCAACAAAGGATCAGTACTTACGTATGTCGATATTAATACCTTTGACAATGATATAATTAAAACAGTTTACGAAATGCAATATTTGACTGTTATATCACGATCAACAGAGAAGAAAGTATTATATCAAAATGAAGGCTACTTGATAACACCTAAAAATTTAAGAGCTTTCAAAGATAAATTTATGTTCCTATCAATGGAGGAAGGTTGGAAGCCGGATGTCCATTTTCTGATTATATTTGAAGAACTCGAATTATCAGAAATTAATGATGTATTTAAAACTCTTCTACATTATCATGTTTTTAAAGTTTTGGTAATAAATGGAGCAAGTAATTCGAATATCTACACTTACAATCCATTTGAAAACTATGGTTGTGGAATTGTTTTCACAAGGATTATATCATACGGGAAATGTCTTGAAGCAAACATAACAAAATCATTTTTTGATAAACCTGTAACAGGACTTAGAAACTGCACATTTAGAGTAGCTTTTTGTGATACGCCGCCATTCTATATTAATCCTTATAATGATCAGAGAAAAGAGAAACTTGTTGGCCTAGAACAATTTGTTTTGCAAACTTTAAGCGAATTGGAACAATTCAACGTTATATATACCTACCAATTTAATCCTGAAGAAGGTTCTATTATAGGAGATGATATGATAGCTTATGGCCCTATGAGGTCCATTCAGAAAGGTGATGTTGACGTAATGATAGGAGGATTGATTTTGAGGCCTAAAAGAGTAGAAGCTTTTAGCTACTTATATGGACACCATACTAACTACGACGGACTCATAATCTTAGTCAAGAAAGCAGGCTTAGTATCGAATTTGAAAAATACTTATATTGAGTTTGATGTAGTGGTTTGGATATTATTAGGCATAGCATTCATATTATTTTTTGTGGTTTTTGTTGCAATATTTCATATAAAAGACAAATGTGGCACAATTTTAGTTATGTGGGACGTTCTTTTACAACACGGTGCAACATTGGGTAGTAAGCTAAAGTATAGGTATTTCATGTTTATTTGGATTGTTTTTGCTTATTTGATTAACATACATTACCAATCAAATCTGTCGAGTCTTACAACACATCCTAGCTACGAATATCAAATTTCTAAAGAAAAGGATCTCGCTATCTATGATATAAAGCCATGTATAAGCTCTCTTGTAAACAAGCATTTTAAAGCCATATCGGGACATGAGATGGAAGGGGGAAACCGTGAAGAATGTGAAACTATGTTGCAGAGCATGACGACAGTCAGTCAAGTCCATAACAAGTATACTATAGTTTATTATCCTACTTATAACGAATATAAGCACACCTTCATTGACGAATATGGAAATCCTACACTTTATGTGTTTAAAGAACCAATTAGCAAGTATATATCTGGCATATTCTTTTACAAAGGATTTCCTATGATTGCGGAATTACAATTGCAACTTCTTCATATTTTGGAGAGTGGTTTGTTTGAAAAGCAGTTGAGAGATTTGTCAGACGAAGATGCCAAAAAACAATATTTGTCTGAAACAGAATTTCGGGCTCGTCTTATTATTCCTTGGCCTATTCTTGCTTTTGGTCTTAGTTTGGCAACCGGATGTTTCGTAACTGAAATAATAATATATTTCATTAAACAAAAGATTAGAAACAAAATTTTCACTTTCGTAAATTAAATTTTTAACGTTTGAATCGCTCACGTATTATGAAGATTTAAAAATAATGTTACTTTAAATATTAAAATATAATAATTTAAAATTAAAACAACTGACTTCAATTTAAATTATAAGGAATAACTCAAAAACTATTGGTTAAACCTTGATTAAATTTATATGAAACCACATGTGAATCACCAGCTTTCAAATAAAAAAGAATCATCGAAATCGGCTTACCCAGAAAGAAGTTATGAGGTAACACACAAAAAACAACGATTTAAATAAAGAATGTTACTTTTACGTGGAAGCATAACAGGGAAACAGAAAATAATTCAATGAGTTAATTTTTGACCTCAGGAATTGAACGCGCGAGCCGTCATCTTGAATGAAAGGTTCGAATGAAATACCTCGACAACAGTTGAACTTCGAAATTTTTTAAAATTTTCAATGTCTTTCTTATAAAACTGAAGGGTACTTTGACCCAAATCGATGTTAAACCATATGACCCCTTTGATGACTAATTTGTAATGTTTCAGAGCCTAAAATATAGGGCTCACTATGCTCTTCAAAACGGAACACAACAGTGCAAGCACTGCTATTTGGCAGCAGAAATAAGCAAAAGGGTGTAACTTACGGAAAGACTTCTTACGAATATATGTATTTTTAACATAAGAATTAAATATTAAAGGAAATGAGATATCTTAAAATGAGTTTTTTTTGGTGAGAAATATCAATATATTTTATTTTATTGCTAATTTTTACATAATATACACAAATATGTTAAAAAAATAAAGCTTAGTTAGGTTCATAAAAATCACAATCGTCTAATGTATGTAAATGCAAATCGACGCTAAGTAAGTCTAAAGACCGGCAACGCACCTGCAATGGCCATGGTGTTTTCAGTTCACTTTTCAAGTCAAGAATAAAATTATCATTACGTACACCATTTATCAAATTTATGTATAAAATATGTGTCATATATTATATGCATTTATTTTATATATTATATTATTTTATCCTTATGTTTATACACATATAATATATAGATAAGTTTACCCTATTTATTTTACTTTAACAATTATTTAAACATACATACCTCTTTTTATCTCTACACTATTTCAAGGTAGACTGGGTAAAAATGTCTCAGATGATATAAAGACCGCATATATATAACTGCATACATGAAGTTATATAAATAAATAAATATATTGTTAAAATTGCGGTGACACGTTCATGGTACTTGTAACGAAACCCATAGAAATTTTACGTTTCCTTTGTTGGGAAGAATTAGACCCGCTAAACCACGGAATTTAATTTGCGTCATGGGCATATATAGAAAATAAATAAAAGTTATAGTTACAGCCTATATACGTCCCACTGCTGGGTACAGGCCTCCTCTCATTTTTGAGAGGGTTTTAGGGCAAGGAAATGTCCGTTGTGTTGCCCCAATGCGTGATGGCAAACTTCACATGTCTTCGAAATATTTTTTTCCTAATTTCTCAGACGTGCAGGTTTCCTCCCGATG